GGGGCAAATACACTCATTTCTAGATTAGATTTTAATTTCTGGTTCACCTGCTCACCCAACTCCAATGAAGAAGCATTCTCTGAATGAGTGAGGGTTACAGCATAACATGCCTAATTTCTGTGGTGGAAATATATCATTAATTAATTAGTATTAATTTTTGCAAGAAGAGGGCTCTTACAGCTACAACTGAAGCTTGACTAACGGAGCCGATGTGAGCAAGTTTGAGGGTTTTTCTATTAAATCTAAAAGCTGCCTAAAAGCCTGTTCTTTTATACCAGCATGAAAAATACAGGATTATTAAGAGAAAACACAGGACTTACCTGGCAGTGCCTGTGCTGAGGGAGGTAGAAGCTCTACAGAGGTCTGATGTTCACCAAATACCTTCTCAAATCTGGTTCACGGATGTGATTGAAATTGGCATTAAAATGTTTTTCAGCCTTCTGCTCTCTTACAGAATGTGGATGTTTTGAGACAGGCAAGGAATACTTTAAAGTATATACTAGTATACTGTGTACTTGGCAGGATGCTCAGTGACTTGTAGCAGATACTGGGAACTGACAAAGCAATACATAATAAAATCTACAAGAAGCATCAGGTGTGTCTGAGTCTGTGTTTCAGGAATATTAAGAACTTCTGCTCTCCTGAAATTCATGGTTTTCTGTACAATATCAGCTGTGGATATGGAGGAGAAAGGGCTGATTGAGTACTTGGCTGTGTTGAAATATGTTGAGCACTTCTTCAAGTCTTTGTTGTAGTGTCTTCTGGTGAGTAAACAGAAAAAAAAGTGGTCTAGTCAATGTTAGAAGGCAGCAAAGCTGGCAGGTTTTCTCAATACTCTCCTCTTTCAGCTCCCATCCAACAGATGACTCTAGCTGACTTAGGATGTTAATGTGCTTTGTGCTCTTCATATTACAGCTACTGTCTTGCCATAAATAATTCTGAACGTGAATTTATTTTGAGATTAAATTGTTGTCCTCATTTAATATGATTAACACAAAACAGATATTCATGTTTGTAAGTATTTTAAATACTTTATTCCATACAAAAAGATGTTTTGTGTGTCAGCAACAGAACACACTGAGCTCTGCCAAATCAGCACTAGCGAACTACCTGTGACCCCAGTGCATTACTGAAGTGGATTGGATGCCTTAGCATTACATCCTGACATCATCTTTAAGTATAGAAATCAAACTCGTGGTAGTTGAGATTGTATCAATAAAGTTCTAGCATTTCACATCTTTTTCAGTAGTCATAATAAACCAAAATAGTATGATTCATTGCCCACCTGAAGTATTTGTTCTTTCCGATATCACCAGGCTACTGATGTGTAAACAGAAATGTAAATATGTGCTTGTGGGTGGGTGACTATTTGGGCTTGCACAATAGTACTGAATCACTTGAGCAGGTCTCCTTGTTCTGTACAGTGGACTTCACAAATGCTGCTCAGAAGTGCATGAGGAGCTTGTTTGGACTCAATGAAGCTTGTGATTTTTTGCTCTTAACACATTCCATCCTAATTGTAATTTCTAAACTAGCCTTTATTAGTTCACAGATCCATTGTGAGAGATACAAAACATTCAAACTCATAGTCATTAAAAGGTCCTTCTCTTCTAACCCCCTTTGCAATCTGCTGGAGCAACTAAATTTATTTAGTACATGTGTTAAAGGAGGAAAAAGGAGAGAGGACTTCTACAGCACTTCAGCTATTGGTTCTAGGAAGTTGTTTCAGGCATTCTTCCAAATCAAAACGCAGGTTGTTAATGCTTAGGAAGTTCCAAAAGCTGTATGATTATGTGGACATTTTACAGCTAAAGAACAAAAGCTTGAGTAGGTAGGATTCAGCAGCTAATTGTGTTTGGATCAGGGAATGTGTGTGTTTGGGTATGTTGGGAAAAAAGAGGACATTGACATGTAGGGAATTGTTACAAACATGCTACTTGCTCCCATGAGAGAGATTTTTTATTTTTTTTTTGCTGCGTCTCTGTATCACCCCATAAAAAGCCTCTTGAGCTATTAATAATACTAAGTGTCACTCAAGTGATTACTGAGTTTGAGGATGTTGCCCCAAGATGGCAAGTGTGGCATCTTTTCTGAGATAACTATGGGAGAAATTTAAAGAAAAACCAAGAGCAGCAGCCCAGATCTGCAGAGTTATGGGTGTTACATGCTGAAATATGTGGCTGCCCATCTTTTATGCACAGCTGATGGTGTTAATGAATGCTGCAGTTCCTGGGAGAGTGGGCAGCTTGTAGAGAGTCACCTGGGGCAGCACATTTCCCAGATGCAGGAGCTGAAATGAATATCCACAAGCTCATCATGTTTGTGAGTACCAGAGAAGCATAACTACAAATTCCAGAGTGTGATTTTCATACTAATGAGGTTTATAAGCTCAAGAAATGTGTCAAGGCTGTGGCCACACCTTCCTGAGGTGGTGAAGGTTCTAAAGAACAAGTCATACAAAGAGTGGCTGAGGGAACTGAGGTTGCTTAGTTTGGAGAAGAGGCTGAGGGGGGACCTTATTGCCCTCTGCAGCTACCTGAAAGGAGGTTTTAGGGAGGTGGGTGCTGACCTCTTCTCCCAGGTGAACAACAGGACAGAGGAAATGGCCTCTAAGTTGTGGCAATGAAAGTTCAGATCGGATATTAGGAAAAATTTCTGTACTGAAAGAGAGGTCAGGCACTGGAACATCTGCCCAGGGAGGTGGTGGAGTCACCAACCTTGGAGGTGCTCAAGAAACATTTAGATGTGGCACTTCAGGGCATGCTCTAGTGGCTGAGGTGGGGGGCTTTTTTGTGGGTGTTTTATGGTGGAGTGTGTGTGGTTGGTTGTGTTTGGTCTGGTTGTATTTTTTGTGTTGATGGTTGGACTCAGTGATCTCGGAGGTCCTTTCCAACCATAATGATTCTGTGATTCCTCCTCCTATGCTGTGGGTTGTCATCCATGGGAACTCCTGCATGTCACCATGAAGAACCTGGATTGCAGGTTCATGCAGTGCCTTCCCACCATTAAAGTTGGGTCTGGCTGCCTGGGGCCATGTGCAGCCAAGCTCTGACCATCTCCAGGAATGAATGGCAGTTTGTAGCCTCACTGGACCCTTTCCCCATTATATGATCACCCTCATTGTTAAAGAAGCAATTTTTTTTTTTTAATGTCTGGTCATAATTTCCTTTGTTGCAACTTGTGTCTGTAGCTTCCCATCCTCTTGCTGTGCATCTGTGAGAAGAACCTGGTTCTGCCATGTCTGTGCCTACTCAGTAGGTAGTCAAAGGCAGGAATGGGACCCAGTAGTTTGCTATCCCTTCTTTGGGCTGCATAAGTGCTGGTGTCTCAGCCTCTCTTTGTGTACACAAGCCCCCTTACCATCTTGATGGTTTGCCACTAGACTTGCTCAAGCTTGCCAACATCATTCTTGTGCTGGGGAGCCATAACTCAGCACAGCATGCTGGCTGTGGTCTGGCAAGTGTCACATAAAAGAGAAAATTGTTTCTCTAGACCTGCTGTCTTTGCTTTCTTACTAATGGAGTCCATGATGCAGCTATGCTTCACCTCTCAAGATGATCTCTCCCTCTGAACCTGTCCACCAGGACCCTCAGGTCCTTTTCTGCAGAGTTCCTTCCTGTCTGGTTCATGCTGAGTTTGTGCTCATGCTCAAGCCCAGTCTGTCCAAATTCATAACATAATGTTTTACTGTGTTGAGTTTCACAAGGCTGATCTCAGCCTGTTTTTCCAGCCTGCCAAGGCCCCTTGAAGTGGCAGCCTTTCCCTCCAGCTTATCAGCCATGCTCCTCATGTCATCTGCAGACTTACTGGGGAAGGAGCTTTTCCCTGTCTCTTCTTTCCACATCATCCCTGAAGTTCAACCAAATCCAGATGGGTAGTTTGGTGAAGTGACATGCTCTTAGGCTAAGACGTAGCTAATTAAAATGTGTTATCTATCCTCACCTCATCATAAGCTTAGGAAGCTCTAGGTAGGAGGGAAGTATTTTTCTTAATGGGCTAATTCTCTACAATTTCTGCTGCTATCTGCTCCAGAGACAGAGATCTGAGTGAGTTGCAACAGCAGACTTGGAATATAGCTGCTACTAGAGCGTGCTCCTCTGCATGTTTGTGGTGTTTGTTTTTTGGGGAGAGTTAATTTAGTATCTATTCAAGGCTAAATTCTAAAATTCTTGCTTTATCTAGACAAGCAAATCCTGCTCCCGTGTGGTTTAAAACAAGGGGGGAAATACTGCAGTATTTTACTTCAATGTCAAAATGAATCAAATCTTGGAAAACTTTGCCTTCTGTTGATCATATAAATGCACATATGCAAACACTAGTTGGCATTTTGTCAGTTTTCTGTTTGCTCAGTTTGAGGGAAATTTTGATAGGAAATCCTTTACCCCACCCATTCAACTACTAAGTAGAAACATGGATGTCTGGCAGGTTGAGAGGGAGAAAACCTCAGATTTTCAAGACTACTTAGATAAGGATGGTTCAGTAAATCAGATGGAGTACATAGGTACTTGATGGGAAACCCACTGAGTAGATTTTCAGCATGAACTAGTGCTTTTTGAAGGAGAAAATGCCTACTGGAAAGGGGTAAAACACTCTGCTATGTCTTGTCACCAACTAATTCTCAGACTCTTTTTCTCTTTCCCCCCCCTTTTTCCTTCTCTTGCCAAGAAATGTGATCATTCTATGACACCATAGAGTGAACACATCCTGAGACAGCAGTGGAGAAAAGAAGGGAACTGAGCACTGTGGAGGAGGAGACCTAGGTAGGGCTGAAGAAGGCTGTGGGAAAGCTGAGAAGGGTGGGAGCCCTGCACAAGGGCTCATTGGCAGAAGAAGGCAGGAACCAGGATACGTTTCAGCTTGGGTGGCTCTGGGAGGAGCAAGTGTTGGGCTTAAAAGTGTCTTGATGAAAATTGTTCCCTTTCTTTTCAGACACGGACAGTGAGTTTCATGGGGTGGATTTTCTGGCAGAAGACCTCAACGTGGCTCCAGAGGAGACAGGAATGAGGGTGAACAAGAAATACTCCTGTTCACCTGCTGAGGAGAAGGGGATCCACATTATCAACATCCGAGCTATTGAGGATATAGGATATGACCAGCACGAGAGTACAGTGAGTAGAAGACTTGCCAGATGTGCCATGACTGGCAGACTGTGCTTTACCCCTCTGCTTATTTCTCATGCTTTCCATTCCCAGGATGCTTTGAAATCCTCTCCCTCCCCCTCGCAGAGATGCTGAGGATTGCCACCAGCCACAGCACATGCTGTCAGTGGGGTTTGTTCTTTGATGTGAAGAAGGGAAGCAGGGGATCCTTGTTTAACCTGTAGCATGAGAAGGGGTTGGCTGCACTCAGAGGGATCAATCTGGCCGTTGGGCTGTGGCAACCTGCCCATCTCTTTGCCACACAGAAAAGAACAGAAAAAATGTCTAAAATTTCATGTGAAATCTGTTGTTAGCAGAGGCAACATTCAACTAATATCCTGTAGCAGGCAATAGAGGTTACATTTCCAGTCTTATTAATTGTGCCTTGGTTAAACTCTTTTAACGCTTATTAGTAATTTGAATACCCAAAGGGATTAGGAATTGGTTATGTCACAAACACACAAGAAGGGGATTATTCAGGTGAAGGAATCAAGGTGGAGTGGACTACACAACAGATCTCTCTGGGGGAAGGTGTAGCTGAAAAAAGCAACACTTGATTCACTGTGCTGGTGCTTAATTAGGATGGAGCGTGGAGGAATAATTCTATCAGAGTGTAAACATTCCTCCTGCCCTGGGAAAACTGAAATGTCTTTTCTGTGTCTCGTGCAACCAAAGGGACATGAGCCCTACCTGGTCTTAAGTCAAGGCAGCTTGCTCTATTCCAGCATAGCAGCAATGCAAGAAAGGGTGTGACCTAATACCTTGCAGTATTAATACCAGATCCTTAAAGAATCTGACAGTTTCTTTCTTTAAAACAGGACCAACAGGCTTTTTTGAGTCTTTTGGCTGTGTCCCTGTCACAGTGGGACACAGCTATTCTCATGCATTAATAAATGTATTGAGACTTTAGCAGCCACAGTGCAGCACCTCTCACTCAGTTTCTGCAGTGTGACCTGTCCCCTTTCTGGTGGCAGTGGCTCAAAAAACCAGAAATGGGATTTTCTGTGCCACTTTTCCTCCCCCCAGGGCACGCTCCAGGAGAAGAGGAGCTGTGGCCAGGATGTGCTGGTCTCACCCGAGCTCCCAAAGCAGTTAAGAAACCTCTGGCACACTCAATGCTGCCATCTTCAAGAGCCAATCCCAGTCCTGCCACTTTCTTTTGTTTATTGACCTCCAGAACCAACCAACTAATTACTGTCCCTTGAAGTAAATCCAACAAGGAGGGGAAGTGGTTGGATTCTGAGTCTTTTGCCTGTTTCAGCTCCCTGCACTTACCTGAACATCTATCACTTCAGCCCAGTTTTCCAGAAATAAATATTTAATTAGTTCAGGAGATCACATCTTTAACAATCAAATACAACTAGCTATCTTAAAGGAAATCCCAGTGTTCCTGTATCTTGTTTACAACAACTCTTGACTTTGAAGAGGCATTGGATCTTGACAACCCAGCTAGTTACTGTTTCTTAATATTTTGTTCCTACAGAAATTTGCATAACTGAGTTGCCTGTCACAAGCAGGGCTGTTAGCTTGCTTGTAAAAAATGTTCTGAGTTCACATTAATGCCATTAAACAGGAAGAAATCAGAAAGCAGTAGTTATTAATGGTCTTCTACGTTGTAATTATTCTTAGGAACAGGAATATGTAGGTAGGGCATAAACATGAGCAGCTTGTGCTCTGAAGAATGTGTTTAATTGTCATGGTGAAATAAGGCAGATGGTGGAGCAGGGGAAAGAGGGAATAGGACAAACAGTGAAGTCTATGGTGGCAGCAGTTCTATATTCTAATTACCAAGAAGATGGAGATGCCCTAATTGCCAGGAGTCACATGGAAAAGACAAGGTGTCATGGGCACAAGTTGCTTTGAAGAGATTCCTCTTGGGCACAAGGACAGTCAAACGTTGGAATAGTCTTCAAAGGGAAGCAGTAGATTTCCCCACAATGAACAGTTTTAAGTCTCAGCTTGACAGGGTGCTGAGCCATCTCATATCAACTATAGCAGTACCTGGAAAGGTTGGATCCTTGAGGTCCCTTCCAATCTGACATTCTGTGATTAATATATTATATCCTCTTTCCAAACATGGGAAGATGAGGTTTGCTGCTTGTCTTTGTTGTCCAAGTAGGAATCTCCCCAGGGCAAAAAGGGAAGAACAGACTGTTCCTTAAAGGCATTGGTTTACAGATGTAACTGGGACCTGCCCTCCCCAAGGTGATGTGCAGAGAAGTGTGCACATTTTTGTAACAGCAGGTGTGTTTCAGTGAAGTTTTGCCTGTATTGGCTGTGATATATTGTACAGTAACCTCAGAGATTGCTCTTTTCATCTGAGGTTTAGAAAGAACTGTTTGCCAATAACTTAGATTCACAGCTTTATGTGTGCAACAAGCAGGAGATGGACACATGTCCAATGGGTTTTGGCCAATATGATTTACAGCCAGTGGCCAGTTGCTGTCACTGGAGCACAAGTCCCTTTTCCTGCATGGAAGCTTAACATTCTTCTGTAAAATTAAAAACCAGGAATTGTCCCTGGTCCCTGAAAAGCCACTCCTGTGATATTTTTTGTAAAAACAAATATAAGTTAGGAGGGAATTTTAATTTGTTTTAAAATGCTCCATGCACGTCCAAGGATAGAATTGTGAATTATGGATGAAAAGTGCTATTGGAAGTAGAAATTAATAATTGTAAGTGTTTTTGTATGTTTTTATAACTGTCCTATGCATTTTTTTGAGACAAATGCTTAGAAATGGACTTGTGTTTTAAGACTTGCATTCCTTGCCTCTTGCAACACTTGCACGAGGTTAATCCAAGATGGGAATGAAATCTTTGCCACCATCAGATTGCAAAGTGACACAGGTTTTGTAAGTGGGGAAAAAAGTGATGAACTCAGTAAGCAGTGAACCCACTGCCCTGGCTAAGGTCCAGTTGCATTTTTGGCCGTGCTTGGTGACCAGCTGGCTCCCTTCAGTCTGTATCTAAGCTGATCTCTTTCTCAGATGATACAAACTTGCAAGGCTAGATAAGAGAAGTGAGAAATGTTTGCACTTGATATTAATCCATTTGTCAGAATTGAAACGCAGATGTCCTGGGTGGAAAAGGACAGATGATCTTAGTGGTGATTAACCCCCAGAGGAGAAAACCAAACCCACCAAGTAGCTGACTTACGAGCTAGTGTGCTGGTAATTAGATTAAATCCCAATCATTTTAGCTATTTATTTCTGGCCAATAAAATCCCAGCTGGCCATCAATAAAATTGCAGGTGTTAACTTGCAAAATTGTTTTGAGTGAGTAGCATGGGTGGGCTCCTCCTGTAGGTGTGGTGTTTGAATGTGGGTCATCGTGTGCTCCAGACAAGAAGTCCTTGATACAAGGTCTGTCTGGTGTTCATGTTGGCGTATGTACTAATTATTCTTCTCCTCTCTCCTTTTCTCCACATCCCCTTTCCCTGCTTCCAGTTATTAAATTCCCTATCCAAAAATCCAGATGCTGACTGCAAATATGGACTTTACTTCAGAGATGGCAAGAGGAAAGTAGACTACATCTTAGTCTATCAATACAAGAAGTCCTCGGCAGGGAGAACACTCACCAAGAGAGTTCATCATAATGATTCAAGTGTCCGAAGCACCAAGCAGGACCAGCCACTTCCCGGGAAAGGAGTCCAGCTGGAAATGGGGGAATGTGAACCTCACGTGGATTACCACGAAGATGACAAGAGGTTTCGCAGGGAGGAGTATGAAGGGAACCTGGTAGAGGCTGGTCTGGAACTGGAACGCGATGAGGATGTAAGGAGCCGTTTCAGATGGGTAAAGATGAGGAGGAGAAGGTGGCTGAAGGAGATGCTGAGCTGTTCCTGTGAGCCTGGCTCTGGTCAAGGTTACACAAGCTCAGCTCTTCCAGAATGTGTTTTCAGTTCTGGCAGCACTGTCCTCTCCCACTGATTTAATTCACTTCACAGGAATGGGCAGTGGGTTTTTATTGCCCCAATGAAGTGAAGTTTCTTACTTTTCTTGGCCGAGACTCATGGCGCATCCACTATTGCAACACAGCTCACTGATGTGTTGCCATATCTAGAAGTGAGGCTTAATTTGCTCTGAAAACTAATCCCAACTTGGTGGGTTTACACTGTGGTTTGGATCCACTGGTAATTCCAGTTCTGATGAAAAATACCTGATACAGACAGTGATATTTTTATACCTCAATGTATTTAAATTTGTTCAGGGGGTTCTGGTACATGCTGGAGCGCGTGGGTCTGTATTTCAGTTTGCTCTTTCCATTCTTAGATGTGAACAGTACAGCTTGTAACGCCTTTCACCTGCACCCTGAAAACAGTACATTCTATTAAAAGACCATTAGACTATATAAAAAATGATGTGTGTGAAGTACTGCCAGTGTGTGATTAGTAGAAATAGGCACAGCGGTATTAATTTCAAAGGCAGCTATTACAATTAACTGATCCTGCCAATAGGGCTGAAACTCCTATGAGAGAGAGTAAACATTTATGCTGGTTTTATTTACAGGACCTAAAAGTTGAGATTAAACAGCTAGACTTGTGATCAGAATGTTAAAAAAAAATAATCTGCCCTCTGTTATTCATAAATACAGGCATGTACATAATGATATATATGGATATAAAAGTAAGTATTTTGCATGGTATGATGCAAAAAAGAAACCATTTCACTTCTCTGTCCTGCAAGTGAAATTAAGATTTGCTCTCCATCGAACTTGCAAATTACTGTAGTGAACTAGAAGCTTGCCTGTGCCAAGTTGTAGATATTTAAATCCTTTGCAAGATGGGAGGCCCCCACCTGTGACATGTAATCTGGTTTCAAATTAAGCAGAAGGGCTCAGGGTTCAAGCCAGGACACTGTAAAAGAGAAAAAACCCTGTACTTTCCGTACAAGATACCAAAGCATGGGAGGACTGTGCAGAGAGAAGAGCAAGCCACAGAGATTTACATCAGCTTCCATATCCAGCACATCAGTGCAGGGGGTAAAACCTGGCAGCACTTGGGCTTGAGCAGCATGCCACCCACTTGCACTGGGGGCTTACTGATTGCAAAAAGAGCAAAGGTTTCTTAAACAGATGATGCTTACTAAGTCACTTAAACTCTCTTCAATGGGGTAAGTTTGGAGGTGATTTGGAAGCCATGCCTCATGGGCAGGCTGGCAGCTACTTATGTCCTCTGAGTAACCCATTTCTGGAAAGCCAGTGCAAGGCATAGCTGTGTGAGAGCCAGTTGTTACCATAACTGAGCTGATACAGCAGCAAGTCTAGAAAAGTTCATTAAAGTTCCCTTCTCTTCTTGGTGCTGAATACCAGCTAGTTTCTTTCCATTGTCCAATGGCTTTGAAATGGTTGCTCCTGTGGGAGTGAATAGGGGTGTGTATGGAGTGCCAGGAGCAAACCCCCATGTCCAGCCATCTCAAGCAGAGCTCAGAGCACTAGTGGGATGCAAGCACACACCTTAGAGTCTCATCAACACTTATCTTCTTTTTTTTTCTCTTTTGTTTGGTCAAATTCTTCCTAGCAGTTTTCCTGATTAAAACATGTGGTGTTTTAATGTTGATACATCTATATCTGAGGCTGCTTCTCCCTTACTGCAGTTCTGGTCCTTTGAGATACTGAGCAACTCTGAGGAGGCAGCAGATACTCTCTTAGCTCCATTAATTACAATGCACTCATTAAATCAGACCATTTGGCTGGGTGCCTGTGCTTCAAATTTAACTGGCTTAGACTGTATTTGTGTTCGTAGTCATTAGCTTTTATTTCCCAAACAGTTTTTATCTGTTTAATCTTGTGGTAATTGTTCTGAAAGACAATAGTGGTTTTGAGTCACATTTCCTAGCAGCTCAGCACAGAGAGGTGTTCAGTGATTGTCCTGTTGTTAGAAACCTGCTGTCTCAAATGAGATTTAGCTCAGTGACAGTAATAAACTGTTCCTTAAGTACGTATGAAACACAAGGGGAAAAATACTTTATTTCCTCTCATCAGTGACCTTTTATCTTGGTTGTTTTTGTTTGTTTTGTTTTTTTTGAAGACTAAAATCCATGGGGTTGGATTTGTAAAAATACATGCACCATGGAATGTGTTGTGTCGAGAGGCAGAATTTCTTAAGCTCAAGATGCCCACAAAAAAGGTGAGTCTTGGTTTTCCTTTATTTCCTCTGGAAGGTGTAGTTTAAACATATCCTCATCTCTGAGCACCTAACAGATGTAGGCTTTTTTTCCCCCAAGCATTTTTAAGATAGTTCACTGATCTGTATGGAAAATGAGAGTCACAAACTTGCTTGGGAAGGAGGAATGGAAATCAGGAATTCCCAGCATCTCCCACCATCTCTACACGATGCGAGTAGTTCCATAAATTGCCTCATCCTGTCAGCGTGTTCTAAAAGAAAAGGCTGCAATTGATGGTGAAATTTCTGTGTGCATTTTGGAGAGGTTTTCTCACCTGAAACACTAGACTGCTAAAAATGAGTGTAAGAGTAACAATTTGTGTGCAGGAGTCTTGCTGGGTTTGGTGACTCTTCATATGCATCATTAGTCATAGTTGCAGGGGTTGAGAACACTCTACCACAAAATAAATTACCTTTCAGAATATTTGAAATATCATTAAAGAGATGACAGTATATTTTCATCAATTCTAAGTCATCTGTGATAGATAGTTACCTGCTCAGTGAGCACAGCTTACAGATGGATTAATATTTAAACACATACTAAGTGCATGTCCCAGACTGCAGAGGGAAGTCTGTAATGGAGCGAGAGACAGTCTCACAGCCCAGCATCATTTATTACAACACTAAACCCCCACTTTTGGTTTAGATTTCATATTAATACCCATCATTGCCTCACTTACCACCGATTTTTATCAGAAGCACAATTAGATATAAAAAGTCTGTTGATCCTGTAGTTAAAGCTGCTTTGTAACAAAAGAAAAGTTAGGGTGAGCATTTTGTCGAGGTTTTTTTTTTGTGTATGAAAGAGGCCACCTAAGCCTGCAGGCCTTGCTTGGGAGAGTGATGTTCCTGAGAACACCCTCAGACACCTAAGGCTTTATGTCCAGCCAAGCATCTTCCTTTGGTGGGAGCCCTGCCCTGGATCTGCATGTAGCTTTTCTGGCTCAGAGAAACAAGCCTGTCATCCTCTTTTGTGACCTGCTAACACAATTCCTGCATTTAATAAACAGAACTGCAGTAGACAATTCCAGATATTTTGGTTCCTTTATGTAGAAGAGAGGAGACTGCTGAAACATACATAACGTTCCCAGGAAAGGCCCCAGGGAGAGGAAACCTGTTGTTTTGCATAGGGGCTCCATAGTTCCTTCATGTCTTTGTCCCATTGCATCAAGAAACTAGTAAATGCCAAAGGACCAGGTGTCTGAGGAGCCAGTGCCAAGTATATCTCTCCTGAATACCCCAGCCTGATTATTTGGAACAAAACACAGGCCATGCTTTGGTTCAGGGGGAAAGCAACAGGCTTTCTCTGCTTGCCTTGGTGTGACTTTCCCATTCATCTCTGTGTTTCTGAATGTTTTCAAGAAGGTAAGCTGTGCTCCTTGATCATTTATTTTCATATATATTTAGCAGACGGTTCATTCCTCACGGTTCACTCTCTCCTACAGATAACCAGAAAGCAAGACAGTTCAGCTAATTTTCTCTTCTCCCACTCAGATGTATCAGATCAATCAGACCCATGGTCTTCTGAAAAAGATTAACTCTGTCATCCAAAAGATAACAGAGCCCATCCAGCCCAAAGTGGCAGAACACAAGCCTCAGACAGTGAAGCGCCTCTCCTACCCCTTCTCCAGAGAGAAACAGCACCTGTAAGTGAAAGCTTTCTGTAAATGTCCATGGTAACAGGTCCCTGCAAAGATTAGTTCCATTTTGCAGTAAATTTAATTTTTGTTTGGCTCACTGTTGAGGAGTCAGGCTTTGAGGAGCCCCTCTGTGAAATCTCAGTGCTGCTGTTGTGGCATCTAATAAATACCTATGTAACTATACACACTAGCCTGCCAAACAAGACTTATCATGTGGTTTACAATAGTCTCTTTACCATGTAAAATAAAATGCTCAGTAAAATTTGTAGCCAGAGATATGGGCTGATACATTTCAGAGTAATTTCATTCATCTGGTATGGGCAGCTCACACATGTGCTGCCAACCAGGCCTTGACCTTGGAAGTGCTCTGAAGTCCATGGTGGCTTTGCCATCGATTTCAGGTCAGTAAGAATAGCTGCAAATGTGGGTGTAGGAAAAAATCAGGAGGTGGGGCCCAGCCAAAGTTTCAACTGCCCTGGATTGCTTTGCTGCTGCTCTTCCTTGGCCACCATCCCAGAGGAGAAGCTTTGAAGAGTGTGTTGATGTGTGTGCCAGCTGGAACAAACAACAGTCCCAGGGCAAGATTTCTTCACTGTACATACAGGGGTTTTAGTTTTTCAGCAAGGGATGCAGAACACTGATGGAGTTCTGTGTGTTAGTTGAGCCAGTCAGTGTGTGTGACATTTGGCATGTTCTTGGACTTGTAGGAAAGGTTTTTACATATTGCTTGCAGGATGTTCTCACACAGCAAAGGAGTCTGGTGCCTCAGAGGAAGCCCAAAAGATGCTCCTTAGCTTAGGCGTGGATGTGACTTATGCTGGTTGCAGTGGTGGCTTTTTTTTTGGTGAGACCATCTGTGCCTTTGCTGCATAACGGAGGCAAGAGTGGCCTCCCAGAGATTAAGGTGCAGACAAGATGTACAGATTATTAGGAGAAATTCAAGGCCAGCAGTGGTCAGGGATTCAACTTACATGATCGTCAGAAGTCTCTTGTGCAGAAAAACCTATAAATACATAAAACCAATGAAACGTATAAGCACCCTCTTTAAAATATGAGAGTTGGGTTGGGCTTTCTTTTGAATGAGGTGTCTACAAGCTATTTAATGTTAGCTATGAGAGATCCCCAGGAGGAATGAAAATATTAAAGGGGTCAACAAGAGCAGGAAATGACTGGCTTCTTCTTTTTTTTTTTTTTTTTTTTCTTCAGAAATAGAACTCACTAAAAATAGCAGTTCCTCAGGAACAAGACTGCCTGAAAATAGCTGTTTCTCAGGAGCAGGGCTGGCTGCTTCTGAAAGAAGTAGCTATTAATGTATAATTGTCCCTGAGGCTGGTTTCTGAGAAAATGCTGTATATACAGAGGGATGTAAAGAGATATGTTCACAGGAAACACAGGCACCCCTCTCCTGTCAGAGGTCCTGTAAACTCCAATAGCTCACAAAAGTTCATTTGGTTTGCTTGTCTTAGGCACAGTTAGATCAATCACAGCACTGGAAGATATTTCCCTCTATGCTGGTTAAAACAGCACTCTGGGATGTTCTTACTATTCAGACCAGTAAATGATAAAGCTTCCATCAGTTCTAACCAAACCTACATTTGTTTCTTCTCCTAGGACTGAGAAACCCTTCCCAGCAGCAAGAGCCAACTCTGAAACACAAACACTCTCTTTCCACAGAAGATCCAAGAACTTTGTTGAATTGCAAAACCTAATGGGCTTCCTTCTAATCTTTTAACAGATTTGATTTGTCTGACAGAGATTCCTTCTTTGACAGCAAAACAAGAAGCACTATAGTAAGTACTGTATATAAATAATTTATGGTGGGTAGTGCCTTAGTCATGGTGTTAACAGCCCCTTGGCCAGCTTCACTACAATGCCTGCTGCTACTTTGCCTTTCTTAACCAAATGCCAGGGATCACTTGTGGTATCAGTTATTGAAATTATTAATAAAATGTTTCCAGCTTTAGCATAGGTAATGAATAGTCTTTGATGCTAACAGGTTGCTGCCTTTTGGAAAATAATTTGGATCTTTCTAGTTCACAGTTAATCTGGGATATAGTTTTTTAGTAGACATATCACCAGAAGGGACTAGATTTACATTCGAGCACTGGTTATGGCACCAGCTCCCTGCACCCTGTGTGATTCATTTCCCTTTTGTAAGGCAAATTGCTCTTTTGATAAAATGCTGGGAAATCTCCCAAAACAAATTCCAATGAAACAACCAGGTATTTGTAGGGAATATTATTTCTAGTTTTGGGGGGCAATTCTCTAAGGTGGTGTTGAAAGCGTTAAGTTTTATGATTTTTATTTAACATTAAAGTTTGCATGAAGCAAATGCAACAAGGGCAGAAAACTGCATCTTGTTCTGATTGTGTGTCTACTCAGCTCTGTTACACAGCAAGCATGATGGACACGTGTGCAGCCCTGGGACTGGGCTGAGCCATTTCTGCCTTTGTGTTGGAGGGTCCTTACTCCTTCAGTTCTCCTCTCTTGGTTAAACTTCTGCAGTTCCCTTACAGAAATAGAGCCTGATATAGGAATATGAGGTCACAAACTACATTTTTGTGACTTACAGAGCATAAAAGAGAGTGGGGGAGTAGGTGTAGCCTCCTTCAGAGCCCCTGAGAAGGGAATTGAAAGGACAGATCATGTGGCAGCCAGGGTGGTTGGAAGGGACCATGCCAAGCAGCACTTGCTGCAACACTTCTCAAAGTATAACATGGAGTCTTTGCTCTACTCCACTGCTGCTAATCAGTGGGTTGGAATGTGACTGTGAGCCTGCTTTTATCTTCTATTTAACATTAGCCTTTTGGGTGGTAAGTAGTTACAAAAAGAGCTTATATCACAATTATAGCTGTCTTTTATTGCTAGGGTGATAAGAGCTGTAAGATATCTAAACTTCCCTTTCCTGCTTTGACATTCCAGTGTGTGGATCCCATGATGTAGTTCCCCTGTAGCTTGAAGTGCACTGATTTGGTGGGAGTGCAGGTCATCAGGGCTAGTTGAGTTTGACCAGGGAAGGCAGAGGCAGCAGCACAGGAGGGGAAAAGAAAAAAGACAACCATCAAATTGCTTTGTTAAATAAATGCTTAAATGCTTTCATTTGAGATGGGAAAAAAAACCCCAAACAAGATAGTTTGTGTTTGTAGATTTTCTTTTGTATGTTTAGATATATAGGAAAATAACTTTGAATTGCAAAAAGGGAGCAAAAAAGAGTTAAAATTCATGACAACAAGCTGTCTGAGAAAGGTAGCAGGACAAAATGGCACCATAGGACAAGAAGCTGAGCAAAACTGACTGAAACAAAAGGAGCTCATAACAGAGGCTGGGAGGAAGAGGAGGGATGGGATTTTTTAAACCCCTCAAGGGACACTGAGCATAGAACAATGGTGCTGGTAGCATGTTGCTTTGTCTGAAGTCCTTGTAAATCACCAGGTAATAAAAGATCGACTGGATGTTTAACGGCATCATTTTATCCCACATGCATTTCTCTTTGTATTCTTGCTTCTTAAAGTTCTCACCTGCCTCTCTCCTATGTATTTTTAAACCACAGTGCAAATATTGACCCTTCCGCCTGCTGCAAAATGAACAGGAATCTGGTCACTCCCTGTGAATCTTTGATGAATAGAAACTAAGCCAAAGACCTTTTACTTATTTTAAACAAGCCATGCACATTGTATAACTGAAAATCTCTCCGTGGCAGCCCCTCGAATTCACTGGGGTTAGAAGAGAACACCAGGCAGATGGGGCCAAAGTTTGTCTGCATGGGCTGCATGCTGAGATGTGAAAAGGTTATTTGCCAATAAATGCAATAAATCATCAAATCAATACATCACTTTTGCCACTGAGGTCAGGCAAGTTCAGAAATTTTAAGGTTAGCCTGTGCTAGCCTGTCCAGTTTCTGACAAAGGGCTGCTTCTGCATGCACGTGATGAGCCTGGGACTCTGCTGAAGTCCTTGGTTTGAAGCCAGCTTAGAATCACAGAGTCTTCTTGATTGGAAAAGATCTTTAAGATCATCAAGTCCAACCATTAAGCCAGCACTGCCAAGTCCATCACTAAATCATGTCTCCCACTTCACATCTACATGGCTTTGAAATCCCTCCAGGGATGGTGGCTCCACCACTGCCCTGGGCAGCCTGTGCCACAGTCTGACAACCCTTCCAGTTAAGACATTTTTCCAGATATCCAATCTCAACCTCCCTTGGCACAGCTTGAGGCCAGACATGGGAGGTGAGGGAAGAGCAGGTCCAGCACAGTGCCTAGTCCTGGTAGAAGAGGGCTTCTGATTCTTGATTGATGTCAAATATGAGTAAACCCAGTTATGTCAGTGGTTAGGTGTAACTTCATTTTCCCTCATCAGTTACCTTGGTATCTGGCTACTCAGTTAAGCTTTTTTTCTATGGATAACTCAGCATGCAACACTGAAAGCCCTGCTCTCCTGCATGCCATGACTTTTATCAAAGAGTGATGACTTCATCGACGTCTTGGTTTTGCCAATATTTGAGCTGTACACACAAAAAGATTGCTTTTCACTGGCAGTGTCTGGAGTAACCCTTTCCTTTCTTTTACTTCCATAGGTTTATGAAATATTGAAAAGAACAACATGTACCAAAGCAAAGTACAGCATGGGTAAGGAACTTTATTTAGCTTTCAAATCAATACTGTTTTCAGATATTGAAAATAATTGCAATTTGTAATTGGCTGTGGAGTTTAGGTTTTTCCCCTGCTCTCTAATTTGATGTATGCAGTTATAATTATTTTATTTGGAAATTTAATTTCATATTCAAATGTGAATATATAGATTTATATTCTCTAAGTCAAATGGTAAGTGAGCATACAGT